GGTGAGAAAATCCTGCTAATATAGAACAAATAGAGGGGGATGAAAGGTATGTGGTGCGTTCATACCAAACGAGTTTAGAGCAATAGGTGCATCTGGTTTACATTAAAAGTAAATTAGGAGGTGTGTCAAGGGATTGCGCGGCACGATTTGGACTGTTTGGAGCGTGTTGACACGTCGAGTGCATCCAACATGTCTGACACTCCACATAGACATTTGGTATGAATGCACCAAAATGCACGTGTCGAATTTGAAGCATCAGACGTGTTCAGTGTGAACGCAACAAAAGATTTCACACTGCAAATACATTAAATCTTGCCAAGTAAATTTGGTCCAGTTTCAAGAGAAATATCTTAATATGCTTGAAATAAGACAAAATAACTCAGTAAGTTGGGATGCTTGTGCTACAGAGTTATTGACATGTTCAAAACATTTATGGCGGTCTAGCTTCAGCAATTTGTGTGGCAATTTGTCTTCCTACACCACAGAGATGAAAGGAGGATACACAATAGAGGAGCCGCTAGAGACTCTGGAGACTGTTGTGTTTAAAAGGTCGGCAGTTTCCATCATTTCTCACTGAAACACCCTGAAACATGTTCATTTTTCTTTACAGTAGTCCCACAACTCCTGACCTTTACATAGAGAATATTAGGAGTTTCACATAAATTCCTCCATAGTAATTCAATTTAAACATTCAAGCGTTCTTTTATTAAACGGCTTCATCAGGATGGTCATAATCCAAATCAAAGACTGGAGGACAACCGCAGTAAGAATATTCCTTGGAGTAAATTTGGGCCCCGTTTTTACTCTCCTCTGCTGCACCAACTAAAAGCACAAAGCAACCTGATCTGAGAGAGCGCAGGGTTTACTGACAACAGAGGAGTGGCATTCCCTGAGAGATGGAGCTACAGAGGGATTTGTGAAGGAGATCCTGAAGGCACACTGCCGTGTATTTGACTTATTGATTATGTGTGAAATCTCATCCACCCAGTGTAGCTGGAAGAGGTGTACTCTTGGTTATTTATAGCAATCTCTCCTCTCAATGCTGCGGTTGGGAATTTTTGATCAATGCCGTGTCCACGGGGCTCTGGCTCCTCTGCCAGCACCTCATCCGCTCAGCTCGCTCCGGCACAGTGCAGCTCCGTAAAGGAGAACAACTGCATATTAGAAATTCATGAAGAAACCTTGAAGCAACCCGGCCTGTCTTTTTGTGCCGCTGCCGTTTAGATTTAGGTCAACAAGCGTGGAATATCCTGAGTGTGGTTAACCGGCAAACCCACACTCAGTGTGGGTTTGACATTTTGTCTCAGGTTTGACATTTTGATTTCAAGAACTTGATATTAGATATCAAGTTCATGATATCTGTTTAATTTTGAGCCGCAGTCATTCTGATGTCATGTTCATCAATAAAAACAAAAATACCACAGAGGCAATGGGTTATTTTGGGGGGTGGGCATAGTTAATGTTCATTTCATTTAATATAAATACATGAACAAACATATGACTTTCAAACAGAAAACCCAGAATAACCTTAAGAGATTACATGTAGAAAATTCTAATTATCTATAAATTTTAGCTCAGATGTTTCACAAATCTAAGGATCTAACGTTTAAAATCTCTGTAGTTTATTTCTTTAAATGCAAAACCAATCTTGCTGAAGAGCAGCAAGAGTTCATACCATTACTGTGACTATTAGTACAGTGGTTTAAAACTACTTCTACACCTTTTACCCCCACAAAAAAGTTACTACTACCTGCCTCTGCAGACATAACAACAACACTAGCTCATTAGCTCACTAACATTTTCTGAATCCAACAGCATTAAGATTTTTGCCTTTCATTGATTTTGTGCCATGATTCTAACACACCGACATGCAGCTCTGCACAACATGTCTGTCACTAACCCACCGGCACGAGCATCTTAGCACATATGTTGCATTGGAAAAACGGCTCCGGTTCATCCATAAAGTTACTCTTCCGTTAAGTATCAACTGCAGAACAGCAGCCTGCGCCACGGTTCGCTCTTAACCAGCCACCAGGCAGCAGCTCTGGCAGAAGAAAGGCTGCCGCACTCCAGGCAGCATGCCAGTTAATTTAAGCATGCTGACTAATCCCACAAAAAAACATAGAAACCCAGACATCATCATAACTCCATGAAATGCTTAGCTTTCGTCAACAACTGATAGGCGGAAGTGAGAGCGTTGTGCAACGCAAATAATCACCCGACCAGAACACGGTGCGCTAAATAATAAAACATAATTTAACAAAACTTCCAGGCATATAATTTTCCTCAAGGAATTATAATAATCAAATCATTCGTTACAACCCTACTTATAACATTTAACACGAAAACATGGCGGGCATCTGGTGGACTGCCCTACCACTGGGCTTTGCAGATTTTCTGGTGAAAACACTGGAAACCATTGAAATCCCAGCATGCACGTGATAGAAAACCTTCAGTTCTCACTTCAATCTGACGAGTGAAAATGGTCAGAAAGTCCCTAACAATCATTGCGTCACCACAAGGAAATGTGTTTTAATTAACTCCTAGAGGACAAATCATTTTCCTAACAGACAATAAGATTAATTTATCTCTTACTGCAGGAGCATAATCACGCTAATGCCTTTATACAGTGGGGGGAGGAACTCTCATGTCGAGATAAAATTATTACACATCCACTGTTAATACTTTGCACTCATGTTTCATCGTCTCCTTGAGTATCTCACAAGGTTGGAGAATAAGAAAGAGGGATCTTTGACCGTTCTTTGGACACAAATGCAAGTCAAATATATATTCTCCTTGTAAATCAAATACAGTAGTCATGAATTGAGTTTTGTGCATTTCTGCTTTGTAGACATGTAAATAGGAATGTGTCAGTGTAAAAGAATCCAATTAATATATTTTTGTGATTCTAAATCTGAATGTGTAGCTGGAACTAAATGTTGCAACTTTGTCAACCAAAATCTCTGAGAATGTCATTTCTGTATTTGTGGATAGTTTGAGTCTATAAAACAGATTCACACTTGTTAAAAATAACGTACCAGGCATTATTCATTAAAAGTGCAGTATGTAACGTTTATAAAAACTGACACCGTAACAGTTTGATATGAGACAAATAATCTGTGAAAAGATCGATCTCTTCGTCCCTGGGGAGAAACCAGAGAGGAGGAAAACATACAACTGCAACGACCTGAATGTTTTTTGGTGTTGTCAGTTGCTAGCCGACACAGAACGTGAAAAAGAGTGGTTCTGGGTTACTAGGACAATTTTTCTGAGTTATTTTCCCTTTCCTGTGGCGCATTAGTCTAAATTAATAATTCGTACATCTCCAGGTTTCACTTAGCTAACGGTGTTGTTCCACCCCGGCTGTGGATGGCATGTCAAAGAATCTTCTGTTTGCCCTCCATCGTTGTGCGCATGTGTGAAATTTCCAGATGTGTACAATAAAATGCAAGTGGTTCCATAGCAATCTCAAGACATGCACCGCTCCTGACAAAAAAAAACAACCAATCAGGACCTGGAGGCGTGGCTTAGCGTTGTTATTCGCAGCTATGCTAACTAGCCTGAACATTCAGAACAACATCTGCTATCAGGAAGCAGCAGAAAGCAAAGGGAGGAGATGGGGTGAGTGGCAACACATGATGCTGTGATTGACAAGTCTAAGACCCGCCTCCTGGCTCTGATTGGTTGTTTCTCGCTAGCACTGGGATTATCTGTCTCATCTCAGAATGTCATGGCATAGTGATACTTTGAACAAATTATGTAAAACATATTTTTCATATATGTATAAAAGTTACTTTAAAGTGGGGTTTTTTTTCCATCTAGTGAAAAATATTCATATTTCTCAGTATGGATTTGTTTCCCTCCTGAATAAAGAAACTGAAATTGATTTTTCAGTGAAAATATGCTTAGATTTATTCATTTTCAGGTTTTTTGTGTAACTTCACCAAGAGCGTTGATGAATGTTGAGGGCACTTCTCTCTTGAGATCCAGCAACCCTTTAAATTTCCTCCCAGTCAATCTGTTAATTTTGCATATTAACAGACCACAATGTTCTTTCAAAGAACCACTTTATAATGCGGAATGTGTTTTGATCTCATCAAACTACAGAAAATTAAAACATTTAACAAATCTGGACTCGGAGCTCTGCAGGAATTCATATTAAAAGCATGAATTTACAACCAGCGAGGAGGAGGATCAGCAAATTTCAGTAGTCTTCCTGCACCATGAGGAGAGGTCTAATTATGTACAATATGTGAAAATACCCGGGTGTGAACAACATCTCGCCACGCCTGGCTGTGCAGGAATCACAGGAAATTTACTGAAATGCTTGAAATGCTTGTCAAGTCAACTTGTAGCGGTTTGAAGACGCAACAGGAGAGTGTTTATTTGCTTTCCGATGATGTGGCTGAGAGCTGCTCAATTAATGTTCTGAAAGCAGTACACACTCCTGGCCTTTTCTTACTCAAGTTATTTATCATCCTCTTCTGCTTCCCATGAACCATTTCACAGCTAAAAGGTTTAATTGGCTCCATTTCCTAAAAACAATCCTGCAGCTTTTGAGTTGTTAACAAAACTCCCCAAATAAACAACTAAAAGGTTTCACCACTTCGTTGGAATGTTTCAAAACTGTCTTTAATTTTGCCACTTATTTTGCAGGTTTAATCTACATAGAATAGAAAAAGGATGGGGTTTTATTGATTTGTTTGCAATTTATTAAACGTACCTTGCCATTATAAGAATTGTGATTTATAATCACTTTCAATTAATGTAAGAAAAAATGCTATTTTCAGCACCCAAAAATATTAGTAAATCAAAAAATGGAGTAATTAAATTAAGTTTATGTGCAGCTTAGCGATATGAATCAAAATTATTTATGTATATGCTGTCCTATCTAAAAAAAAAATTTCAACATATTGTTATCTTAATAGCACTAAATATTAATGTTCTAATATTCTAAGTCCTTATCGCCTCCACCTTAAATTTAAAATGTTGCGTCTTACCGAGCCTCAACAAGTCCACTGCCGGTTCTGTGCTTTTCTTGGGGCTGGATCTGCACTCCAACTGCTTACACACAAAAAAAACAAAAAAACAAAAAAAAAACAAATTAATACAATTTATTTTTATAAATAAACTTTCATTGAATGATAAATTGGAACATCATCATGTGCCTAATATGTCAAACAATGGTTACATACATGCTATAAGAATGACACTGTTGGTAAGATGGTTTCTACTCTGTGTATTAATGTATATAAGGTATATTTTGATGTTTGAACTACTAAAATAGGCAATTATAGTCACATTTTAAGGAGGTCTCAATCATTTGCATATTTTCAATATTTCTGAATGGCTTGGATCCATAAATACATCGCTCCTAGAAAATAAATTATATTTTAGTTATCTAAAATCACAATCTTTCTAGAAACAATCAATGTTTCAACAATTGTGGACATCACTCTTTCAAATTTATTTTTTCTTTTTAAGGGAATGATTTATTTATGATTTAACTTAACTGGTGCAGTTTTTCAAAAACAAAATAATCTTTCTTGTACTCTCATCCTGTTTTTGAATTAAAAATGTTTAATGTTGACAGAAAATTTAAAAACATCACTTGATAACTATGTGTTATTGGTAGATTGGAAGATTAATATCTGAACAACTACAATGTCTGAAAAATGCCAACACTGAAGAAAATAAAAATTCTGTAAACAAGCAATGCTAAGCCTGGTGGGGGCACATGTAGGGCCTGGTGGCCCGCCAGGCTTATGATACAAACCCTGTGGAAATAAAGCTGTGGTTTATGACCAAAACTGCTTTGAATACCAAAAACAAGTTTTTTACACAACACTTTACACTAAACGTTACTTTTATCTTCTGTGTGCATTAATAAATGCTTCACAACAAGACAATCTGCAAAAGAGAGTTAAGTTAGAACAACAAAAAAGTAAAAAAGACGGTGAAGAATGGAGACACAGCAGAGTGTAGAGGGGTTAACACATGGTCCATGAGGGATCTACAACGTTGGTGACAAACCCAATTTCCCTCCGAACAAAAAGATCGATGGACCACATTAACTTCAACGTTGTTTCCATCCAAGGCAATGAAAACAATTACCGTGTCCATGCCTAATCAAGGATGCTGGGGCTGTGGGTTGATGTGTGTTGGCGCTGCAGCAAAGCTTCGACAACAGCAGCGTGATCTGCAGCAGGAAGGTCATAAGTGTTCGGCAATAAATTTTTGTTTTGTGCTGCGGTCACAGAAATGGATAAAGCAATGCAGAAAACGTTACATCTGCAGAACGAAAAGGAGGAAGAGCTTCAGCTGAGGAAGGAGAAGAATACACTTTAATTTAAAGTTCATGTAGATTGAAAAGTTTCAAGGTTACTTTGTGTAATTATTCATTGAATAGGAAAGCTTCAGCCATCTTTGTTGAATTGCAAAATATGTGACTGTTGGAAGTGAATCCTTAGCCTTGACCAATGACTAATTGTAGATAATCTGAATAGGATCTATATTCAGAATTATCCTCTATGAAAAGCTGAATAAATCTGGCAATACTGTAGGCTAGGGGGAAAAAAACAGACTCCTTCACGGCTGTCAATTTGATTTACAGTTTACATCAATTGACATCAGGCTGTCTTTCGGTGCTACAACCCACACAGACGCTACGAGAGGGAGAAAATTCATTAGAGAAAATCCTGAATGACATTTTGATGAACAGCTCAAACTGTCCAATATTGTTCAAAAAAGATGCTGACAGATGTAAGGCAATATTTAAAGTCAGAGAAAAACTAACATGTTTCTGGTGTCTGTAATATTTAAAAGAGCAAGTAGCATTTAGGTGTTTTTAATTATAACAACTTTGGCACGTTGTTGGAATGAAGCACCGTTTGTAAATAAAGAAAATATAAATGATTTTAAAAATAAAAGATTTGCTGAATGAGTATGAAAAATTAAAAAAATAAAGAAACAAAACAATACAATTGGAAATAAAATGGAAAGTTAAATGGTTGAAAACGATCAATATTTTATATCATTCCTTTTTCTTTTGTAGATGTGATATTTGCAACAATAATCACTTTATGACACCATTTATTTATATATTTGTTTGTTGATCCATACATTTTCTCTTTGGATTGCGTCTGCTTTAAATATTAGATTTTGTTCTTAATTTGCTTCACGTTTCCATTTCACAACAATTGAATGAGAACCATTAGCTACTGCACAGGGCTAATATTTTATAGCATTAGCATTAGCTAGCATAGGGTACAGTAATGTCAATTTTACAGATTGAGCTCCAATGGTGTTTTTTTGTTGTAGTTGTTGTTTTCTTTTGGAGTTTTCTGGCATCAGGATCCCCTTCACACAATATAAAGTTTTAATGACCTTCTCATGTTTTTATTAGCTTAGTTAGTTATAAGCCTTATGTCTGAAAATTGTTGGCTTTGCTTGCATGAAAAAATGGCGCAGCTTTAAAGAGAAAAGGAGAGATTGCGTCAAGTCTTGAGCTGTTCTTCATTTTTAGAGCTCAAATGTAAATATTCACTTTTTTTACACAACTCCCACATTTTAAGAACTAGATTTGTGGAAATCAATTGTCACAATATAATGAATTTAGTGTATTTCAGGTATTCTCTCTTTCCCAGCTTCAGTTTGCTCGACCTGTTGCTTCGCTGTGCAGAATTCATAAAAGCTTAATGTCAAACCTCTGTCAGCATGTTCTCTGTGCTGTTTTGCTGATGAGATGTCAGCCAGTTTTGTTCACCTGATAAATTTTGCATGCAAAAGCTAAATGCCAAATTCACAACCTTCTTTTCAATCTCACCTAACTCTTTTCATAAAAGCATCACTTCTTGCCTTTGTGTTCATCAGATGAGGCAGCTGCCTCCTTGATTATTTTTGTGACATTGGTTTCTCATTATTAATGTTAAATGACAGCAAAACTACAAAAATAACCAATTAAAACTCTGTGAAAGGCTACTTTAACAAATTACATAGATGCTATAAGAATGTATGTAATTTGGTAAGATGGTTTCCACTCTGTGTATTAATGTATATAAGGTATATTTTGATGTTTGAACTACTAAAATAGGCAATTATAGTCACATTTTAAGGAGGTCTCAATCATTTGCAGATTTCAGATATTCATAGATGGCTGTAGTCTCTTAACCCCAATAGTTTGTAAATGTGTCTTTACAAATGGATATTTGATCGTAGTGGACTACGATCCAATAGTTTGTAAAGAAACATTCACTGTTAAAAGACACATTTAGCAACGATAACTCTCAGTAGTCATTTTCTGCCTGACTTTACTAGCCTTTCACTGCAATGTGGAGAAATTTCGGTCTGCATTTCTTTCCAGTTTTGCCTCAGTCCAGGTTATATACAAATAAATTTAAAAAAAAGAAACATTAAACTTTTTTGTAGCAACAAGTTGTTTTTTTGTTGTTTTTTTTAATGTTGGAAAAACCACTTGTTTCAAAATCTACCAATTACTCAATGATAATGTTTGGGCATGACCCCATTAACTAGCAACCTCAGACCTTGTTACCTACGTTTGTGGTACTAATTTGGAAATATTTGCTCTTATTTATGACTTTAAATGTGACTTTTTATTACTTGCTGTATAGATTATGGACTGCAATCTGACATCAATTAAGGCTGAGACAGCTGTTAAAGTTTTTAACAATTATTGAGAAAAATCTGCAATAAATTTCCAATTACATATCAGCACAAAAAAGTGCAGGGATTTATTGATTTTGTGTGAATTTCTATGATCATCCTTCAGAAACTCGGGGTTTCTGAAGAATGAGCGTATTGATGTAATTTGGCAGTGAACGGATAAAAACCTAATTGATTTGACTGATTAAAAAAAAATATTTAAGCACACTTAATGTTTAGTCTAGAATCTAGAGGGCCTAATAAAAGCTGTGGTGGACCAGATTTGGCCCGCGGGCCTTCTATTTGACACAGGTGCTCTAGAATATTACGTCATACAGATTATTTCATCGTCCGTCTCACGACGGAAAACAAGGTCACATTCTTAGAGATTGGTATGATAATTATTTTTGCATTTTGTTTGGTTTTTCTAGCAACATGGTTCTGTGCATTATGAAACTTTGCTGTTCCTTCTAAACCAGCCACATACTTGAAATGTTTTTACTGTCGTGTCATAAACTGAGGCTGAAATTGAGCCCACGGGTATTTGCAGTGTCTCAGAGTCTGACACTGAGCTGAATTTGCTGGGACATTCACTCCTTCAAGGATTGGCAGCTGTCCTAAACGTTCCCCACTTGTCATTAATGTAGAATGATGAACTTTAAATTGTTCGGAAATGGGCTTTTAACACTTCCCATATTGATTGGTAGGCAGAGTTGCTTGTCCAGGGTCATTGTTGATGTCGTTCCACCTCAGTATTGTGTTTGCAGACATATCAATGCTCCTGATTTACAGAGGCGGTCACCATGTCAATGATTAGTTAATCAAATGCATTCGAGTAGATTGATTAGAAACACCTGGTTGATATTCTCCCTCCTAGATTGTATTGAAAGAGGAGATTCAAGCCTGTTTCTCCTCTCTGTTACTAGGAAGAGGGAAATCTGTGGGTAAGAAAGAGTGAACACAATCAGCCTAAGATAAAAGTGCATAAATGTAGATGGGCGGAAGGGAAATACAGAAACCAAGATTGAAAAAGATGGCGGAGGAAAAAAAGACAGGAGGCGAGAACAGGCAGCTGACCGAAAGCAGGAGATGGAAGTGAAGAGAAGTGTGCTGAAATTGCGTTACCAATGCACATTGCTGGATTTATTCACACGTGTGTGTGTGTGTGTGTGTGCGTGCGTGCGTGCGTGCGTGTGTGTGTGTCTGCTACACCCCAGCTAGCTGCACTGGTGCTGTTCTCCATCACTCAACAAGATCTGTCACTCAGCTGGTGAGACACACAGACACATCTGCACAATCTAAAAGCTTTTGTCACACAGGGTGATTTTTACACGTGAACAATTCTTTGTCCCTTTTCATCCATGTGACACACATTGTGCCCTGAGTGAACTGCCACCACACCG